CCCGGCGCAAATAAATTGTCTTTACTGCCGTTCACGGGGGAACCCGATCGAGGGCTCCCGCCGCCGGCAACAACTCCGAATGCGCGAATTACGAATCACCTGTATATACATATACAGGGTGTCCCATTTTAAATTACGCACGTGAATATCTCGTCAGGGGAGCCACTAATCCGAAAATAACCCTTACAAAAGTTGTTGGGTTCGGAGGGGGACATCGGATGGTGACCTTCAATTTCACCTTAACCTTCATCTTCAAGATCATTTGAAGGTCAAATCGAATTTTTAAAATAGAAACCCCTATTTTTGACTCCGGATTCGGAAAGAGCATAAAATTTTACGTTTAAATGGGTACTTGAGGCTCATCTTTGGAATGACCTTCAGAAGTTATTTCAAGGATAAAATATTTGAAATTACGTACTTGAATACATCTTGTCGGGGAACACACCTGTGAACAAAATTAAAGTTTCACATTTGTTTTTTTTTAGTAGCACGGAATTAGTTAGAGGGTACAGTTGTTCAAACCTTATTACCGTGCGTTTTTGAAGACAATTTTTTTTCCTAAACGTTATTAGCATAAAAAAATTAATGTAATTGTGGAGAACGTGCCGGAGCCTGTTCTCATTACAAAACTGTGGTTCTTTGTGCTGTGCGGTTGCGTTAAAATTGTTTTCTTTATCGATGTTTAGTACTATCATCGTGTATTTCATGATAAATTGTTGTAATGGGATACATATCTTAAATTGTAAATCTTCAAGTGCTAGTATGTAAATACGGGCTGCGCTTTTTTTCTTGTTGAAAGAAACGTTCATTTTTTTCTACTAAATATTCCAGTCTACACACGAAATGAGATTGTTGATATTCTCATGATCCTTGGCGAGTGTCGTGGTAATTACCGAGCGGGAGCACGATTGTATCGTGAGCGCTTCCCGGGCAGAGATCATCACCCAAATGACAGAGCGATTGCATTCATCGAAAGGCGCGAGAGACAGGAACATATTGTAAGGCGACGTCGTCGTATTATGGTAATTGAACGGGACGATCCACGATTTCTTTCCGTGTTGGCTATGGTTGCTATTAACCCGCATATTACGCTTCGAGAAATTGAGGCTGAATTAGGAATCCCAAGATCAATGGCTCAAAGAATTTTATAGCTCCATAGATTCCACCCTTACCATATTACTTTAACCTAAGAATTGACTGCTCGTGACTTTCAGCGAAGATTAGAATTTTGTAATTGGGCTCAAGCAATGTTATGTCGTGACCCAGATTTCTTTAGATACGTTATGTTCTCCGATGAAGCTACATTTCACAACACAGGATAGCTAAACCGACCTAATTGTCATTATTGGTCTGCAGAAGATCCACACTGGTCTCGTATGATCGACCATCAAAATCGCTGGAGTCTTATTGTATAGTGTGGAATTGTGAATGGATTTTTGATTGGGCCATATTTTTTTAATGGAAATGTTAAGTCAGCCAGATATTTGCATTTATTGACGAATGAACTGCCAATTTTGTTAGAAGAAGTTGATCTGCAAACGAGGCAACGAATGTGGTTGCAACAGCATGGTGCAAGGTCTCACAGAAGCAATATTGTTAGAGATTTTCTGAACCGTGAATTTCCACAAAGGTGGATAGGAATTGGTAGTCAGGTTGTCGAATGGTGCCCTAGATCTCCAGATCTGACAAGTCCTGACTTTTTTCTATGGGGTTATATTAAAAATATGGCATATTTATATCCACCCACAACCAGGGAAAATATGATCCAGCAAATCACAAACATCTGCAGGAATATACGCAGGAACATGCTTTGGGCAACGGCACTAACTTCGAACGGAGAGTCTAGCTTTGTATTGATAATAATGGTGGAATATTTGAAAATGTAATAAGGTAAAGCCTAAAAAAACCTAAAAATTTTGCCTTAATCGGCCGTCTTCTTTACAGTCTTTCCTTAATTGGCCGGACAATGATTCTTGCCTTAATTGGCTGGTTTCTCTATGGTCTTGCCTTAATTGGCCGGATAATAAATCTTGCCATCATTGATCGGGTTTGTCGCGGTCTTGCCTTCATCGGCTGGACCAAAATAGGGCCCTAAAATCCATCCTGCTACGTCGCCGTGAGCCCTGGACATCGATGTATGTATTATGTCGATGACTGAACGCAGGTTCTGGTACGAACAATTTTATTTCGATAGGTCATTTCGACTTTTAACATAACTTTAAAGTTTTGTAACGTCCGGCGCGCTACATTATAGCACCCCGGCCGTTTACCAAGCGAACGCGAGCACGGAGCATAGCAAATAATACAATACGTGCCAACTACAAGCGCGTAGAACTATAGGATAAGCTACTGAAACCGTCGTGATCGAACGCCGCGCGCACAGCGCCTGCGCGACCGATATAATAGGAAAAACTAATAGAAAAATGCATGAGAGCACATAGATAACACCGCCAAAAGACAAGGAATAACGAACATCATAATTAACAATCAAATAATCACGAGGAAAATGCGCCGATCCATCAAGAACAAATAAAAACGCGCAATTACTTATAAAATGCATAACGATGCAACACGAAACACGCGCATCGAACACAAAGGGCTCAGGAAGCAAATAAAAACTATTGCCATTTGAATAAGGGCACGAATAAGGAAATAAAAGCCTTAAATAAACAAGGGAGACTCGCGAGCGCTTCAGAAGAAAGAACTGAAGATACGCGGAAAAGCAGCGTGAAAAAACGCGCAAAGGATGCACGCTAGCTACGCCGCAACCGAGTGCATCACGCGCCAACCAAGCGCACCCCTAAGAATATTGCGAACCCTGCTAAACATAGGAACGACCAAAAAGGCAAAAAGACACACAGGAATCAAATAAATCGCGATAGAAACATTAGAATATTCGAGAGAATTTCGCAACTACACGTGTGCGAAAACACCTCCTTACTGCGAGGAGTCACAAAACAAAACATATATAAAGCGAGACAATTTACAGACAATTCGCCTTATTCCTTCCTGGCAACCAAGACGGTAAGGACTACTAGCGCTTTTACTAGCGCTCCGGATCATCCGTTAAATCCTACAAAATTCCAGCCCCGATCGTGCGCCAACCACGGCGTCTGACGGGCTAACTCCTCGCCTGATCTCAGCAGCGCAAACCAAGGCGACGCCGAGATCATCTCCTTGCGGAAACTCCAAACGAGCGCCTTCTCGGCGT